GACACTGGTTGGTGCAGACACTGGTTGATGCATACACTGGTTGATGCAGACACTGGTTGGTGCAGACACTGGTTGATGCATACACTGGTTGATGCAGACACTGGTTGGTGCAGACACTGGTTGATGCAGACACTGGTTGGTGCAGACACTGGTTGATGCAGACACTGGTTGATGCAGACACTGGTTGATGCAGACACTGGTTGATGCAGACACTGGTTGGTTGGTGCAGACACTGGTTGATGCAGACACTGGTTGATGCAGACACTGGTTGATGCAGACACTGGAAACATAAAGTAAATTACTGAAACCAGTAAATATATGTGGATCAAAGAGTTTTTAGAGAGTCCATTAAGGCCCACCTGATTGTGACTTGGTCCAGTTCTGGCCCTGTTCAGGTGGCGGGGCTGTGTAAGCTGCTGTTTCAGGTTCCTCTGTTTCCTGGTGTCAGATGATGAAGCGGGTGTACAAAGGGATCCCCCTGCAGCTCAGAGGCCGGGCCTGGACTCTGATCCTGGATGTGGAGCAGACCAAGAGCCAGAATAAGGGCAAATATGAGGTGTGTCTGTTTTTATGTGAAGCAGATTTGATGAAGATGTCCAGCAATAGTCTGCATTTATTTATTTGTTTGTTTGTTCGTTCATTCGTTCGTTCATTCGTTCGTTTCAGAAAATAATTCCAGACAGTACGGACGGTTTTCTTTGTTTGATTTCTCTGCTGTAAACTCTGCTGTAAAGTCAAAACTTCTTGGTAATAAATCTTCCACAGATGGAAATCCTCCTGATTTCTCTGTAAATAGATCAACGTCTGTCAGAAAGATGTTTTTTATGGGTCGAGCAGCAGAGATGAGTTTGTGAGTTGGTCTCATTAAAACTTTATCGATCTTCTCAGATAATGGTCTCTGATCTCTGAACCCTGATTCTTGTCTTTGAGTCAGTCACTACCCAAAGCTCCTGACCATAGATGAGGGTAGGAACATAGACCGACTGGTAAACTGAGAGCTTCATCTTCTGGTTCAGCTCTCTCTTCACCATGACAGACCGGTACAACACCCACATCACTGCAGACACAGCACCAATCCACCTGTTGATCTCTTGCTCCATTCTTCCCTCATTCCTGAACAAGACCCTGAGATACTTAAACTCCTCCACTTGGGGCAGGACCTCCTCCCTGACCCGGAGAAGACACCCTACTGTTTCCAGCTCAAGACCATGGTCTGGGATATGGAGCACTGATCCTCATCCCGGCTGCTTCACACTCGGCTGCGAACCGCTCCAGTGAGAG